TCCGCCGCAGGACCTCGGGCCGCAAAAGCCGTAACCAGTCCATAAAGAATAATGTCACAGTGCGAAAAACTCCCCGTTTCCTGGGTGCTCTGCCTGTACGCTTTCAATGCATGCAAAATCGTGACAAGCATGTCCGCTTCAGTTTATTACCGTGAATCATTACGTAATGTTACTTCATTTTTATGTCTGTGTACAATGTCCGGAGCACCGAAATAATACGGGAGCTCCATCTTCAACTGTCTTCACCGGAGCTGATTTTACGTATGCATTGATCAGCGCGCGTAGCAAATTTGATACGTTGTAGCCAGTCTTGGCCGATGTCTGCATATGCACAGATTTGCAAAACGATTTTAGTTCATTTGCTTGTTCCGTTTCATTCACGTTGTTTCCATGCAAATCTCTATTATCTCTCACATCAATTTTGTTTGCAACGATGATTACTGGAACTTTGGAAAGCATAGGATGGCAAGATTTCGCCAGAGTCATCATCTCCAGCAGATCCATGACGGAAAACCAATCATCGGGGTCGTAAACAAATAGAAATACGTCGGGCGTGCATACCTTATATTCACTATAGCGAGGAATTTTGTTAATTATAAGAAATTCCATCTCGATTTCTTCCGATGACTGGTTGTGATATTTCCGTGTGTACGTTTCATTGACTGGGTACAGGCCAGGGTCCTTACCGCCAAACACACCGAACAACATACGGGTTATCAAGCTGGTCTTGCCAACACCCGGGGTTCCAAGAACGACGACGCTGCATTTCTTGTATTTCCCCATAATGTGGATGAGTTTTTAAACACGGTGCAAGTAGTTTATAAGCGATGTACGTGTATTGAGTGGTTCAAACACAAGTGAGAATCCGTGTGCACAAAAACAGCCTGAAATAAAGACATAGGGTTCGATCATTTACAACTTAGGGGTGGATGGCTAGATAGAGGGTCGAGAAACGTTTTTTTTTCCCCCATGACACGATAGCGGAAGCCCCTCTCCCTACGAAACAGCAAATTAAAGTGACTGATTGCAGTGCCATTTATATAGTTCTTTGTTATATTAAGATTTCTTGATAATACTGCCCTCTTTTGATTATGTTGGCACATCCGTACAATACACCCCCATAAATATTTGTCACAGCACCAGATGATGCGGAAGATACGTGATCACACGTAGTAGGAACACTATTGTACGCATGCTCATTAATTGGAAATTGACATAACAAGTATAATTTGTTTGTGATCTTTAAGAGCAATGACTCCGGGAACTCGCGAATAATGCATCGGGGTTTTCAAATCAAATATTTTTATTTTTGCCAAACTATCGTAAATATTAGTAAATGTTGACTCTTGGAGAATTTGAGATTTACATATTTGATTTACACAGGACATTTGAAAATTAAAAAAAATCGTGCCGAAATATAAATAAGCAATATTTTAAGAGAAAATAGTTCTCGTCGTAAACATGACCTGTTGACCGAATACGTCCTTCGAAAAGGTTATTATGAATTATTAGTATTATTATGTAACTAGGACAAATCATTTTCGTTTTAAAAATTGCACGATATTTTCCTCAATACATACCGATCTAACAAAGTGTTACTCGGCGTTGAATAGTTACCACATAATGCAATACTGTAACACATACATCGTTAGGATAGAGAAACACACGATTTATTCCCGCATAGTCAAGGACCCCCCCCCCCCTGTATTAATGTTCTCGGAGATCGAGTGACATCGCTATGACCAAGTGCTTCTCGTGGATGGCCCCTAATATGCAGTTTACTAGTACATGCCTGTGTATATATGGGGTGTAAGGAGGGTAGCTGGTACAGTTTCACGAGAAATAAAAAGGGCTTTTTACAGTTTACAGTTACGGTGAAAATTGAATTTTGCAGTGAATTGTGTCATCTATTCGGTTTATAGATTCGAAAATGTAATTTCCCTGGATTATTATTTACGACTTTTTTTATTTGGATGTAAATTCTTGTACGTACCGAGAAAAATGACACATTTTTACAGTGTACGAACAAATATTTGATTTATTACGTTGTACGTCTAGCCTGTGATTACAGAATTACGAAATTTATTTTTTCAATTTACGTTGTACGAACAAAAAAAAATATTGCAATTACGTTGAACGAAAATAACCCTCTATATATTACGGCGAAGGTGACTAATTCGGATAGCAGGTACGGGATCAGAAGTCTATCGCACTGTACTATGTGTATATACTTATACATGTATTTTTAATGAAATAATGAGTCATGGAAAAAATGTCTATGAAAAAAAACATGCGTCATAATAAGATGTGCCATGTACGCACAGGATCAAATTGATGATTCGCGCCTGTTTCATTCTCACGTATTGTATCACTGCGGCCTAAAGGTCAACGTCCTGTATAACTGGTCACACGGAAATACACTGAAGACACTTCAAGTTGATGAAGCTATAAGCTGTGATATGTACTTGTATTGTAATAAGTTACAATATTCGGAGGACACATTGACAGTTTGGCAATGTAAATGCTAGTCACGGTCACGGTAGGTGGGTACTCAAGTTGTCAGATTTTATGGAATTTGCCAATATTTGTAATGCGCTCTATGTTGTCAAAATCTTTATTTTTGTTGAAAGGGCCCATGGGTATTTATTACGATGGCCGATACGGTTCATCACTATTCAAAACTCATCATTCAAAATTCAGAATTCAAACATTTTGTAACTATCCGTAAGAGGGCGCTTCACTAGTACACATGTGACTGATAGCGTTCAGCATTCTCGCAGTGAAAGCCCGGTGTGCAAGCTTTACAGATCTACTAAAGGAGGAGTGCCACGCTAAAATATAACGTGAATTTAACAAAATTGGTAAGTAACTATAAGGTTTTCTTGTTCTACACTTGTGTATTCTTTTGATTTTCGGTATAAATCATGTTGAGACAGTCGTCTGCTTGTGTAGCATAAGCAACATTTTGTGAGAGTCAATCAGATTGCAGTAAAATGCTATTTTGTTTTTTATGATATATAGCGCTACACACTACTTTATCTTGGTCCTAATCAGTAACATTGGAACAGTCCTCAAATTGAAACATGTTCTTCGCCTGCCCCCCCCCCCCCCCCACACACAATGATTTTTAGGCATTTGACTTTCATGGTATGTTTTGGGTTTCACAGATATTTGTTTTTAGAAAACTTGGTAACTATGGGGTGATCATAACTACAGTACACATATAGCATAACATGTGGCTTCAATATCGCGTCATTGTTGCATACTTGTAGCTTTATTGTGGCATCAAATTCATTGCTCTACAAAGTACGCAATACTACATGCCAGAATTGTGACTGACAGGAGTTCCTAAATAAGACCACGGTTACTAGAAAATAACCGTGATAAGACCCATACGCTCTGATAATACCCCCTAGGTTCTTAATTCGGCCAAGAAATGTTTTATCAATTGTAGACTGCATCACACATTCTTGTCATACTGCTTAGTGACATACTATAAGTAATTATCTTATTGGTGTTGCAGGATAATTGAATATTGTTTATTGAAATTAATAATCCCCAGAACAATTTTCCAATATAAATAAGAAATTATTGTTTGAAACATATGTATAACTACAAAAATGACCACGCCCATATTTCAGAAACCATGCCC